GCTGTGTTCCAGGAATTCCAACAAAGCTCTTTCAATTACCTGCTACCTATTCCTTTTGAGCTGGCATAACAGGAATTGCATTTGGGTGCTTCTGCATCCAAATCAAGTGTTCTCCTCCCCATTTATCACCTCTGGATTCTAAGATTACTGTATGGTCTAGGGAATGAATGTGCTTCCTAATATTTTTTGCAAGCTTTGGCTGAATAACAACGATATTTTATGCATTTATCATAAACTTTATATAAAATGAAGGTGGTTTGTCATTTTCAATCTTAGTGAGTGGAAAAATTTACCAGACTTTTAATGTTTGAGAGACCAGAGTAGAAGGATTCTAGAACCAGGTTTAGCCTTAATGCCATTAATTCATTCCCCAATCTATGTGTCTCAGCATCTCTTCTACACAGATTTGCAGATGTCAACTTTTTCCCAAAATGTTTGAGTTTAGGCCTGTTATTTAGACATTAAAGTTTACCACTGAATGAGTATTTCTTTACACAGCATGTAAAACCATGTGCATTAAAAGGTAAGTAGAGTGTTCTAGTCTGTTGCTTTTTCAAACAATAGTTTGGAAAAGCTCAGTGAGTTGCAGTAGCTTTAGAGGAGAATTGGTAATATAACAGCAGAAGTTTTTAGGATAAATAAACTTTAGGTTAGAATCTGGAACATGCAGTGCTTTGAATTCTGTTATATATTAGTCTACATTAACACATCTCTTGAATGCTCAGGTACTGTTTGTGCTTAGTATAGATGCAGCACTAACATGTTTCTTCATGTCCTACCTGCATTTAATTTACTTTTTGTGCTAAATATTCCCGAATTTAATGAATATATGATCTGGACATGAATTTCAGTTCTGTCTGTGATTATCTACATTCAACCTGGCATCTGCTAGATAAAGCTGGGCATAAATTGACTTTGTCCACTCTGTGGACAGAGAAATTGGGTGGATGATTTCTTTGAATTTCTCCAATGGACTCTTATTGGCAACAGTAACATTTATACTGAAAAAGAAAATCAGTGGAAATTTTGGGTAAGGTATTTTTAATTGGGTTTCATTCAAACATGGGAAACCGGAAAGCTACAGACTGGTGGAGAGATGGTAGCACACTGAAAGTCAGAACATTTATTTTTACCTCTTGGACATTTCATAACTATCCAAAGGCATGAACACCACCTATAACGATTTCATCAACATTCTTTAAAATTCTGTTCTCCTTTGAAATAATTCCTGCACAACTTCTCTTTCATCAAAAATGTTTGGAAAAATGTTTTAGAAAAATGTGTTTGGAAGAACTCACTTTGGTCATGTTGGGAATTTTGAGGCCTACTGTCTCATCTGGGCATCCTTTTGGAGGCTGCCAATTTCAGAAAAGTTGATCTACATGACTTTCTGATGGCGAAAGATGCCTTGTTTGCTATGAGCTGTAACACGTGTCTTCAAACAGTGATCTTACTTTCAAAAAGTGCAATTCTTGTATGCATTTCTTTGCTTACTCTATGACATGACAGAGAGAAGAAACATGAAAAGATTATGTATGTAGCTAATTCAGTATTAATTACATGAACATCATATGACTGTTAGAATGTTTCTGGAGAGATAATTATTTAAAAATCTCCATCTTCAGTATTCATAGAGCTGCTGCATCTGTCCTGCTTTATGTCATCTATCCACCATGATAAGGAAGGTTTTTGTAGTAGCTTAATCTATGCAATAGCTCTTAATGTGAGGCTTTTTATAGGAAAATGTGTATGAAAGGCAACAGTCAGAGTGATATCCTAGTAATTTTCCTCTGTAATTTTTTTCCAGTATAATTGACAATAACATTTGATAACTTTTGAATTAAGAAGCCTAATTCTGATTGCAAGCCTTAAAAGGAATCATTTTTATGAAGCTATTTCAGTTATTGAGGCTTTGCTATGAAGGATTTCATTGGTTTTGATTAAAAAGATTGGTAACTAATTACATGGTTTTATGGCCTCTCTTATTGGAAACTAAGGCACCATTTTTAATAGCTCTGCAGCAAAAATTCTTTAGATGGGCTAGAATTAACCTAAAAAAAGTAAAGGGGGTCTATTTGATAGAAGAAGAAAAGCTCAGCTTTCAGATTCTGGAGATGACAAAATTCTGTTCAGAAGTGGTAGAATCCACCATTGGTAAATAAAGTAAAAACACCAAGCCCCTGATTATTTTATTTCATACTTGGTTTTTCTTACTTCTGAAATATATGAATTGGCTTTTATTACATAATGCTCTGAAAATATCAGCAGGATCCCAAACCAATATATTCCAGATTTATTTATTTAGCCTAATTAGATGGAATATATCCAGAAGTCTCATTTCAAGAGCAGCCAACAGCACACTCTTAGTTCTGAACACATTCCAGTCTTCTACCTTCTGTTACTGAATATGTTCTGAACAAATTATTTGCATTTCCCTCAGTAACATTCCTAGTATGTTAACCAAACACCTTGATGAGACAAGTTGCATCACTCTGAGAATATATTTGCCTTCTTAAGGCTGAAATATCTGGCAGAGAGCAATTGTATTGGAATTATGATTTATTCATGATGCATTTTAGAAATACCAAGATGCAAGCTTATTTACTTGTCTGAATGTGTGTGCATTTTATGTTTAATTAGCAGTTTTGGTTAACATCTCGAATCTTTACCTGCACAGATACCATAGATGCATTGGTACATCTGTAACCCGTGTAATTAATTTGGGCCATGGATGTGAACCATTTTTCTGAAGATACATCTTATACATCTCTTTTGATAAACATTCTAAGCTGATGGATCAGATAATGTTACCAAATGATATCTCTCCACCAAGAAATTGCCTTCTCTGGAAGTGTGTGGAGTGTGTGTTGGTACAGTCTGAGACAATGTCAACTCGCTGAGAGCTATTTTGAATAATATTAGTGATTCTGATTTTTGCATTTGACCTTGACCCTCATTAGATTTTGTTGCCTGGGCACACTTTTGTAACTGTACATTAGTTTTAATTTAGGTAAATGTGAAGTTGGATTAGTGACACAGACAAAGTATGGCTTCTCTAATAGCATGAGTGAATAAATGGATTGAATTAAGTAAATAAATTTCAATTCAGTAGAGACCTTGCCACACTAATGACGTGAATTCATTCTTCTACTACCCGCAGAGTAGAGTTGCAGGACAGGCATTATATGGTTGGGGTTCAACTTATGAGTCATATTCTATCGCATGCATACTTGGTTTTAGAACAATAAACAAGATTGATATTGAAACAGAATGGCTGATCTGGATGATTGCGGTATTAAAAAGAATTACTTGTTTCAGAATAGTCTTTACTTTGAAATGGTTGAATATTTTTTAGCAAATATTATTAACTGGTTATAATAACACTGTGCTTAGAGTTTAATGCATTATTTGCCTATTCAGATATTAAAGGTGGTTTAGCCTATATTTCTTTTTAAGATACTGGATAGTAAACAAAAAACATAAAAGTTCAAATATGCTCAATATAATACACTTAAAATCCATCCATATAGCAAAAAATAGATCAGGCAAAGCTAAAACCATGCAACCTGGTGAGCTCAAGGTAGCTTTATTCTTTGGTTTCAAAAAGAAAGAAAGAAAAGAAAAGAAAAGAAAAAAGAAAAGAAAAGAAAAGAAAAGAAAAGAAAAGAAAAGAAAAGAAAAACCAATCTCTTTTGCAATGTGGCAAATAGTTTTTAACACTGTCAGGAACTCTGCCATTTACCAAAAGTTTTCAAATAATTCCACTGGATGCACAGAATTCTTTAGAAGCAGTAAGTTTGATCTTGGCATCTGAGCCTAGTTAAATATAGTGTAAGGGTAAACAATTATTAATCTTCATTTTATTTCTCAGCATTGGCATTACTATCAGAGAAGAGAGATTTAGATGGATAGACAGATAGACAGTCCTACAAACAGTATGTAAAATATTGTACAGGGCAAATGGATGGAAATATTAATATCCAAGGCAACCCAGAGTTGCAAAATAGTCCATTTTGATGAGACCTATATGGATCTTGTTATTAAGCAGAAATGTTGCTACCTTGGCCTTATATATTCATTTAAATGGAAAGCCGGCATATTTTAGCAAGAAGAAAAAAAGCAATATGAATGTTATGGGATAAAAAACAAAATATAACCTTATAATTGTGAAGGTTCCTACAGATAGCGACAGATATGTTTATTTGCTATGTTTCAATGGGATTTATTTCCAGAAAGGTATCTTTAGGAATAAACAGTTATTTTTCCAATAGTGGGAAGGTAACCAATGAAGACACAGAATTCTTACCTGCCATCAGTTTGAAATTATCCTGAACAAAATCACCATGGATTTTGGCGTTGCTGGAAATCATCTTGAATTTGTCCTTTCGGCCCCAACTTCACAAAAGTTGTTTGAAGATCATTGTTCTTTGGAATTACTTCAAATAATTCCTTACTTTGGGAGAGCGCAGATGTGTCCTACAAACAATCTGGCTATTAATGGGTAGTTGGGCAGCTACTTTCCCATTCAGAGGGAATGCTTGATAATGATATCTGCCCATCAGCGAACAGCTGGCAAGGGCAGGCTCTATCTGATCACTTCAGAGGAAAAAGGAACGTATTTACAGGGAATAATATTGGGATTTGCTTCAAAAGGGTAATGTTCTGTTGAAGAAAGAAATTAGCATGCGTGAACCTGATAGTACAGATGTAAATAAAATATTTATAGTGTATTGGATCTGTCACCTCAAATTGCTAATAACACTGAAAGCAGTCCAGACACTGGGGCAAAACTCAAGATCGGAAACAAGCTATTCCAGAAAAGTTTCTCTCAGTCTATCCATGTTCTTCTTCTCCTTCTTTTCTTCCAGGGCAGTGGTTTCATTGTAAAAGGCATTTCCATATTTTGACTGAGAAAATAGTTTATTTTTAAAGCATGCTGGCTCTGAAGCAAGCTCTAAAAGATCATCTTGTTCACCACCTCTCTCTTATGCATTTGACAGCGCTGGTCAGCACCCTTCTCAAGGCCTTTCTCTGGAGGAGATGAGAAGAAATTTTCAATACCCACCTATTGACCGAAATGGTAAAATATGACTCTTCTTTAACAATAATAAATTTTATTAATGGACTAATAATGTTTTCTTTGGAGTGAAATTGATCCCAAAAATTTGTAGCACACCAAAAATAACAAATCAGGAACTTTGGTAATAGGAGATGCTTCTCCTTGAGCTGTGCAACCCCTTCGAGTGGCTTAACTTTAATCATAGTGTTAAACCAAGTACAGGTAGTCCTCATTTAGTGACTGCAATGGGTTCCAGTGAAATGGTTGCTAAGTGACATGGTCACTAAGTGAACCATGTGACACAGAGAGAGAGAGAGACTGTGAAGATCACTGGTTGCTGCCATCTCATTCAGATAAAGTTCTCTCATACAGCATCCTGTGCCTCACCGGGGTTTCCCCTCCCCTTTTTTTTCCTCTTCTCAGAGCAGAGAGATTCCTTAAATAAGCGATCTCTTCCTAAGCTGCTTTTCTCTGCAGTGCTTGCCTAAAAAGTTCTAACCATGAGTTAACAAGCTCAGCTCTGTGACCTTAATTAGTTGATTACTGTAAAACCCTCTTGCTGGCTGGCAGCTGCTGCCTGAAACTGACTAGACCTTAATCAGTTTCAACTGAAGGCTTTTGTTATCCTAAATGTTGCATTGGTCCAAAGTTACTTTTTCATCACTGTCGCTATCTGAGGAGGACCTGTACTCCTTTAAGGCTGCTCTGCAAACTGGTGCCTAGGATCTACTAGAGGCTTGGCACAGCACTGATAAATGTCAAAGGAGCCACCTGAGAAGCTCCAAAGTAAGGCGCCATCCCATTAATTAAACTAAGGATTTTACTGGTATCAAGGTTGGGCAAGAAAGAAATATAACACTTTTAATAATTAACTGTTGATCCAATTCTTAAGCTTTGGAGTACAGGAACTACCCACTACAAGCTTGTGCAGGCAAAATGAGGAGCAAAGCTCAGAGTGAGTTTTGACAGGGCTCCCATCCTGCCTGCAAAAGTATGATCAGGTTTCAAAACCTGAGTACTCCTATTTGAATGTATTATATGAAATAGGACCTAAATGTATTTATGAGATTATATTATAATGTATTAGTATGCATGTATATAATATACATTGCTTTGACTTTCTAAGCCAACTAGTTATAGAACTTATGTGCCATATCGAGATTAAGTTTCACTGAAACGAATTAATGTTTTTTAAATTAGTTACTATAGCTAATTGCTTCAATGATTTCAGTGTTACTGCTCATGAGTAACTTAGTTAACAACAAGAATTAAACTTTTTGAAATAATATTTTAAAAAGCAGCTGATCTGGATAGCAATCACATCCCAAACAATGCAACATCTGATATTTGAATTAAAGGTGTTTTGTGCAAGTATCTCTGAAAGTTGGGGTGGGGGAAGAACAAATTATGTTTACTATTAACTTTAAAGGGGTTATTATGTTTTCTCAAATATTCTTTGAATATGGCGCTTACGACAAACCTACCTCATGGTCTTTGCACACTGGGCCATATACAGAAGACACTTCCACCAACACTTTAGGTAAAGTGGCCAAGGAGAATTGGAGTGGCCTCCCTCAACACTTTCTTTGGATGCAGTGAGAGGAATGCCTCTCATTGTTGTCAACAAGGATCAGAGTCAACAAGGATCAAGTCAACAAGGATCAAAGCGGATCATTTCAGTGATCAGAGCTGAGGTGAATCTACCAAGTGGCACCACTTCATATAGGCCTGACTTCTACTACTGATCATGTCTGGAAAGGTTATAGTAAATTCCAGGAACCCAGGAAAACTGTAGCTGAGATCCTTCCAGAATATTGTGAGAATTCCTACCACAGCCTAGACCTATAAACATGTCCACTGATTTCAGTGCTTCCTTTTCACTCTTTATCTTGAAAGATTCCGGAGATTAAGAACAAAAAGAAGGGATTAAAATTTAAAGAAATAAAATTTAAAATATCCATGGTAATAAATAATGATTGTGAGTTTTTGTTAGATGTGGTATTGAATGATGTGCACTTTTAAAATGATACTGGCTTTTAAAATGATACTGTAGTGACTTGTCAATTCTACCCTGATGTGAAAATTGGGATCTTGCCTTCTGAAAACCTTTCTGCCGAAGGTAAGAGGTTTTTGGATTGCTGGGGCTTCTCTCTCTCCGTCTCTTTCTCATTACTTTTTTTTTTTTCATTTTATAAGTGATATCTTCACCCATGATGGTCTTCATGTTCAGAGATTTGGCGACTAGGTTAAACTGGCATATATTCCATGAGAAGAATAATTGTAGCACTCACATTTAACCAGTGGCCCAGGTGATAAATACTCTAATAGTCAAACTGGTACTTACAGTATAAACTATTGTTACAACAATAATCCAGGATTAAGGGCATAATTATTTCTGGCAGACTGCTTATTGTTGACAGTTGAATCTTCCATTCGAGGTCAAGATACGTGTATTAAAAAATCAAATAGAAATGTGACAGGGTATTAAAATTTCCTGGCCTTAGTTTTCCATCAGCCATCATCTTAAATGGCTAACATGATTATGCATATGAATGGCATCCCATCTGTATGTTATATTTTACTTCTATCGTTTTCCTGAAAAAAAAAAAGACTTTAAATGTGGTTATTTCAGGTAATAAAAGATGTGGCCAAAGCATATTTTATGTGGCAGTGCATCTGTGCACTTCTGGAACCAGACAAGACCTCTGTGCTCTCTTTCTATGTACAGAGGCTTGACGAACTTAGAAAGAAGATGGACAAGGTGTAGCTCAGTTGAATGGCATTTACGACTAGCACTTGTGCTTCATTTTGTTTTCTACAGGTTACGTGTCAGATCCCATGAGTACAATGAGGTTTCCGTCCTGCAGCAACAGCGGCAGCTTTGAAGACAGTGGCTGACAGCAGGAATGATCTACCTGAAGAGAGATTCTCCACCAATTGGCAGCAACAATTCTTCCTGTGTCGCCACGGTTCCCAGTCATCATACATTACAGCAAAGAGCCTTATGTTGGCTTGTTTATTTACTGTTAGCTAATGCTTCCCCCATAAATTACCCCTTAACCATTTTTTTTTCCTGTTCCAGTAATTTAAAGAAGGTGAGGAAACATAAATCAGCTAAGTTGCAGAATTTGGGGGAGGAGGGTGTTCACTCTGGGAATGTACTGTATTCATGCCAGTAAAAGTAATTAGTGGGTCTGATATATATTTTCTCTAGCACGTATGAAGAAAGGAGGGGAAAGTAATTGTTACACTGTAGGAAATCACAATCTTAGGACTCCCCACAGTGGATAAATTACACTTCCTTTCTTACTTCCATGGTAGTAAAGAAAAATTATTGTTCCACATATCCTGTAGGATTTGTTTGCTTTCCTTCTTTTTCACCTACACATCCTTCAATCTCATCCATCAGCTAAGGTGGCTCTGTAGTCCCTTTTCTGGAGCTCTAGACCAGTCTTTCTCAACCTCAACAAACGTAAGATGTGTGAACTTCAACTCCCAGAATTCTGGGAATTGAAGTCCACACATCTTACAATTGTTGAGACTGAGAAACACTGCTGTAGGCAATCACCTGCCCTTCTAATGTAATAACCTTTATATCTTCCACGGGTCTTTTTTGCTTCAACTATGTTGAAGCACCCAATAAATCATCCAGAAATTTTTTTTAAATTAATTTCTTGCAAACACTTTAAATTAAAGCTGGAATGCAATGCAGCTTAATGGCATCATTCTAAATGGTTAACTGGCTAATATCAGATGCTCAGGCATATCTTCCTTTGTTCTGTTTAGGGTTGCCAGTTTATCCATTTATTTTAATCTTCTCCTGAATGATCAGTGGGATTTGCAGATACAGTATCAGCACAGAGGTGGATGCAATTCAGAGCATAGGCTGTTTACAGTTTTTCTTGAATTTTGTATGATAATATTGTTCCAAGGCTACAGTGAGATTTAGTCGGATTACTGATCAGTTCCCTCCACCATCAACAAGTTAGTCAATTCACAAAGCTGCACATGTTATAGAACCTTATTGTAGTCCAGAAGAAAATAAGCAAAGCATCTGACACCATTTGGGAATTCTTGCCTCCTTCCCATACCCAGACCTAGATATCATAGAAATAGATCAATGATATTCTGTAAATTCCTTATTTGACATTACACTGGCCTCTCACATGAAAAGACCACTTATATGAAAAGGAAAATGTGTAAAACTGCAGAAATACATTCTGACGAAGAATGTCTACATGTATATGTGTATATTTGGGTGTAGGAGTGGATGTTCACCTCAGAAGTGAAAGCAGCAGCCATGATGAAATGGAAATAACCCCTGCCCCCAAGGTTACCATTAAAAAAAAAAAAACTACAGGTAGTCCTCATTTAATGACCACAATTGAGACTGGCAACTCAGTCTTTAAGCAAAGCGGTTGCTAACTGAAAATGCAAGTGTGCTCATGATCTTACTTCAGTTTTCCTTTGGTTTACAGACCTGTGAAGGTCGAAAATGCAAGGATTGGTCACAAAGTTACTTTTTCATCACCATCATAACTGCAAACGGTCATTAAACAAGGCAGTTAGACTACCTGTATTTATGTATTTTGATCAAATGCAAACTGCCTTCAACAGACTAACAAAGGAGTAATCAGGTTTTGAGCTGTGTTGTAATTCTGTTGTAGAAGATTTTACAACACTGAATGACACTAAATGAAAGAGGATGACTATGCATGTATATAACCTCTTTAGAATACTGTCGCACAAAAATTTAAAAGGCTGGAAGCTCAAGGCTCTCCATCTGACACAAATACTGCTCCACAGTGTCACCTGGTGCTCCTAAGGGGAAAATGCCATGTACAACATTTTCAGAGATTATTTTTGCTGTTCTAGGTGACACGCTTATACATATGCATGCATGCACAGATGTGACAAGGCTATGACCCAGGGGATTGTGGGCTCTGCAAATAAACAAGCTAAACACAAAGAGCATTTTTGTTTCCTCCAAGTTTGATGCATTATACACTGTGGAGATATATATAATGATGAGAGCCAGTTTAGTCTAGTAGTTAAGGCTCCAGGCTAGAAAGCAGGAGACGGTGAATTCTAGTCCCACCTTAGGCATGAAAGCCGGCTGGGTGACTCTGAGCCAGTCACACTCTCTCAGTCCACAATGACAGGCTTGGGCATCAAGCTGGTAGGTCAATTCCTTCCATAACCAATGGATCAACATTTGGTTGATCTGAAAAAAGTGGACCCTGCACCTACGGGAAAAATGCTTGGAAGATAGAGATAGAAATAGAGATAATTCAGAAATTAAACATTTCATATCACAAGACAAACTCTGGGTTAGCAGTTAAACTCAAGAGCTGCAGCAAATGCTTAAGGGTCTCAGAATCTAGAGGTTAATACAATGCAAAGTATTAAGATGTCTTTGTATTCAACCATGAAAAATATACTAAATTCTGTGAAAAATATGCTAAATTCTGCAAATTCTGTCCGTTGCCCCCTTAGTGGACAGTATATGCTCCTTTTACGGGTTGCATTGCAATGAAAAGTACAATGAAAATTGTGAAACCTTAAAAACTAAAGATTATCGCAATAATGTATGTTGTGAATCGTAATCCACTTGACCAGATGTGCAGCATTTCATACTGAGAATGATCCGAAGCACAGCTTTCAATGCAGGGAATGTCATGATCTTTTCCCATGACCCATTACATGTGGCCAGTCTCTTCCAAAGAGTTGATACAAGCCAACAAAGCAGCAAATCAGTTCCCGAAGATACTTTCGATTCATGATAACTATCCTTGAGCATAATAACTGCATAGAGCTGACATGTAACATCGTCGATTGTATCAGACAGAAGTCAACAATGAGACAGTGTCCATGACACCACTAGAAGTTACCCATGGGCTCCTTAAATTGTTAACTCCGGTATACAGAGAAGTAGAGAGATTTTCCTACCTACATTAACCAGATCGTTAATGTAAGATTATTTGTGTTATGCCATATGACTGTTTTGCTAATGGCTAGAACTGATATCTATTTCTTAAAGGTGTTCTACCCTTTTCTCTCCCCACCTTTCCCCCAATACTTTATTCTTCAGATTATACCTAGTGCATGTAATGAAGTTGACTGAGATCTGTGAAAATGTATGTCATCATAAAATCTCTTTGCTGTTTTGCTGCAGCAGACTAATATAACTACTCCTCTGGAAACTGTTTTTTGGGGGGGAGGGGAATCTTTTTAAAACAAAATGTGTGTTTTTTATTGCAAGTTCATTCCCCCTCATATTCTCCTTTTCTCCAAGCTTCTTTTTGCCTGTTGAGCATCACTGAGCCTAAAAAGCACAATTAAGACACCCATATATGTGATGCAGAAAGCTGAATGTGAACTCTGATCTTTTCTATTTCACAATAATGAGCAAAATCTGCAGAGAGGAGCAAGGGAGAAGCCATGAATGCATTGACAGTTGGGGGTGGGAGAGAAACATCTGAGATGCTGGAATAATGGTGAGGAAGAAACATCAGTGGAAAAGAAAGTGAGCGTGTGTAAGGAGTGATGGCAATTCTCTAGAATACTGGTGAGAAACCTGATCTTAAATTTCACCGTGGGAAACTCTGTTCTCCACCAGAATTTCTCAGATGATGGCCACTATTAAAAATATAGTCCATCTTTGGAGAAAGATACTAACTGCAACCCAGTTTATACTTGCTTGAGTAAATTCATTTTTCATTTTATCCTTTTTCATAAGGGTAGTTTAGTCTTTTTCCCCCCCTTTTTCTTTTACTTCCTAGAAGGATTCTTGTGACTTTGACAGCATCATGGGAGGAAGAAAATGCAACAGGTGCAGTTTTTCAGGACCTAAAGTTGTTGCAACAGGATTCACTTTTTTGGGTTGGGTGCCTGTCAGCTAGCAAAGGCATGGGAGCTTGCCAGTAAAAAAAAGAAAAAACCAACCCAAACCAAATCTCTGTGCAATGCATCTCCATTAACAGGTCCACTCAAGTGTGAGAAATTAATGAGGACTAGAAATAGAACAAGAGGAGCAGCAAGAGGAAAAAGCTATTTTAATTGCCTGATCCTGTTGCCAACATATGACCCTTGACATTCACATGGGATTGGTGTTTCAATTGCTGATTCTAGATCGTTGTTATTGTAGACTTTCATAGTTTGAAATGCAAAGCATTTGACAAAGCCAACTGGTTGGATTCAAGCAAAGCAAACACGTTGTTTTACTGGTAATTAATATAATTGGCTATTAGAGGAAAACACTGCCTCAGTTAATTGGTCTCTATAGAAGAAATATCAGGTCTTTCGGGGAAAACATGCTGCTCAGAAGTGCTGAGTTATTAATTCAAATGGATTTTTTTAGAATCAGAATGTAAAATCCAGCCTAGTACAGTGTACCCGTGTTGTTGCTGAGGTCAAATTAGACTTGTCCCTTTCCCAGGAATGAAGTGTATTTGAAATACACGCACACATACACACAATTATCTCACCAAGGTATTTTCAAGTTCATTCAGTTACCAGTAGCTGTAGCATCGTTACTAATTGTTGGAAACCTGTTTGAAAATCAGAGCTGTGATTAATTATATGGCGTTTTTAAAAACGGCCAAGAAGGCAGTATATTCACCCAGAGCAGTACTACACACATGCTTCAAATTAGTTTTAAAAAAAGACTTTGAATTTTGGCAATTGGTTGGACTGTACCTTGACAACCATGGACCGTGCATGAGCAATTTTATCAAGTCCTAGTGATCCTTCCAGAGTTTTGCCCCTTTGGGATTTAAAAACAATATTAACATGTAAATGCATTATCTGACTGTATGAGCTCCATAACTGAGAAGTTTTTAATTTAATTACTTTCAGGTTTAAAATGCATTTGGCCACTTAGCCATGGGCTTTGACCACAATCTGGAAAACAAAGAATCATCTTTGACATTAACCATCTGCATGATCTGCCAGTTCTGTGACTTACAGTGCAAACATAATTCCAATGTTGATTTGATTCATAATGACTTTGTTATTACCCTGAGTAACGGGATTATGGAGAGTTTCCAAAGGGATAGTCATGCTACCCTTTTTCATCAAGAACAGCACATCAAGTCTAATATATTTATTATTGCATAGGATTGAGTGGATCACAGTCCATTCCCCCAGTTAGACACATGGAGTCAAGTACAGTATGGAATCTCTATCCACATATCCATCTAAAGGTATAAACAACTGAATGGCATATTATGTATACATATTCATCTGTACATAAACTTACGGTATAAAAAATTTGCCTGTTAAAATATATAAATAAATGTATTACCTTGAATCATGGGAAAAACCTATAAGGGGCTATACATTTAGGTGGATACACTATATATTATGGTGGATACACTCAAATATTCAGAAATATACCTTGTTTGGGTGAAAAACAAAACATGCTTCAATTTCTCTTCCACAAAGAGAATTCCACCTTGAAAAAAAATATTGCATAAAACACAACAGAGAACACACACTATCTGAAATGTCACAATGTATATTTCTGAATATGAGAAAGTGTCACTTTGATTACACTGAATATATAAAACTCACACATAAGCACTATCTATATAATTTTTATTAAGAATTTTGATTATCATAGTAAAATCTAATACAAACTAAACTTTGTTTGTAAAACAGAATAGAGAAAAGCAGTAAAAAGTGCAAGGAAAAAGAAAAAAGAAAAAAGTAAGAATATAATAAAGAGAAAAGAAATATATAAAGAAGTGGCATCCAATCTTCATCACAAGAAGTATAAACAAATTTGTAACTCTTCACCCTTTCTAAAGTTACAAACATTTATCTCTTCATCCCAAATTCCATTGCTTATCTATAAACCAATCCATAAAGAATCATCTTTTCAGTCCTGGTGTCAGCAGAAAGTGCATAAAGGGTAGACAGAAGTAACAACTTATCTTATTTTAACCTTGATCAAATAAACCAACTTCATATTCCTTCCCTTTATTTCTAACAGTCTTAATCTTTAGTACATTCAAATACTGTCGTAGGTTTTGACTTCTTCTTTGTCCCATCACACAGACTTCTTCAAGGCTTTAACAAGCCTCTTTTGTAAATCCAGTAGGAAAAAATTATCCAGGTCACTCTTTTGGTTTGTCATTTTTATTTCCCTTTTAAATTTTAAAATCGCAATCAATTTCTTTTGTAGATTCTTTTGAAATCATGAAATGTCATAACTCCAGTAGGAAAAAATTATCCAGGTCACTCTTTTGGTTTGTCATTTTTATTTCCCTTTTAAATTTTAAAATCGCAATCAATTTCTTTTGTAGATTCAGTGAAACATCCTTTTCTAAATCATTCTCTTGGCCTGCCAGTTGTAAATCCACTTTCAATGCCACCTCTATCTTGCCAGATAAAATTTGTTCTACAT